ATGGCAATTAGTCACTTTGTAAGAGTATGTACCCTACCTTCAGACAAAAATGACTGTAAAGATAGCAATATGTCCTGCAGTATATATTTTGAGCATTATCTTCCTACAAATATTGGAAGACAAGTAGTTGTTCATTTTAGTGAACCATCATATTAATGAAGGTGATCATCCTTCTGAAAACCACTCCATACCATCCTGAGCTTTCATCCATTACAATTGTTGAAGATTAGTGACTTAATTCACGGTATTAGGATGAATCTAGGTATATTACTATATATATGTAAGGAAAGACCTAAAAAAGCTTTAATTCATAGCAGTCTTAAAAGAATAAGAACAATCCCTAGTGTTCATGCCTGCTATATCCTAGCCTGAAGATTAATATCCCATGTGTCTAAATTAGTGAACACGGTATTTTTCTCTGCTTCCTGGATTAAACAATTAAATCATTTTGCTATGCCTGGTTAAAAAGCTACCACATTCTGTTAAGATAAGAGGTACAATAAATTGGTCTAGCAAGGTGACATTTAAAGCCTGAATTTACAAAGAGAGGTAGTAATACGTGTCCCCATGGCTGTTAAAACATTGGTGGGTTTTAGGCTTGTAAATGTCTTTGTGAATCCAAGCCTACGTTACATGCTTCTAGATGCTCAGATAAGAGAATGCTATAGAATTTCAAAATACTGTTTATTATTACCACTGTTGAACTGGTGGGAATAGAGGGACTATAGACAAAAAGAGTTAACACTGCAGCCAGAAATATTTTGCTGATTCTTAGGTGTGCGATTTAGCAGGGGAACAACATTTGGTTCCTAATTGCAGGCATGTTTCCTTGTCTTGTGTCAGGGTAGTTTTTCTGTAGGTAGCTCCTGTGTAACACTGTTCAAAGATTTCTAAAACATAATGGCTGGTGAGTTAGAAACTAATCTCAACACTTCCTCCCTCCTGAAAAATCTGAGGCAGTTAAAAGCATATTCTAGGAGTCAGGCTCCCAGAAACAGACATAAATACATGAGAGATACAATCAGATAGTAACTGGAGCCTCTGAAAATGAGGTTTGTTAACTCTATTTCTTGGGTTTCCTCTGTGTAATTAGATCAGCACTTAACTGAAAGCCCATGTAGACATATCCTGTGTTTCCATTTATAACAGTCAGATAACACCTTCCACGTAAAGATGTTCTGCCCTGCACAAACATTTTTTGTATTCTCTGAGGCAGAAAAGGGTTAGAATCCCCATTTTTATACAGAATGAAATATGGAAATGTGGACAGGCATAGATGAAGCATTTTGCCCAAGGTTACATATAAAATGTTATACATAAAAGGTTTTATATCTGCCCAGCCCAGGAATATATAACCCAAATCTTCTCTTTTTCTTATACTTTAACCACAGAGCCATCTTTCCTTCCTACTTAAAATGCTTTCAGTGTTTTTAAATGCTGCAATTATCCTTTGACTGCTTTCTATTTAAAGATGGGGATATGTACTCAGCACATCTCTAGAAGGCACAACAGCAGCATACATTTGTTATAAATGGATTGTTCAGGATGCCTAAACCTGAAGAAAGAAGCTATTATTATCTTTCTAATGCCAAAAGCATTTTAAAAGTCAGGAAACCCTTTTCTCCTCAGTATAACAAAAAAATCCCCCCGAAAGTGAACACTGTATTCCAAATAACTTAAAATTAATAGTTTTTCTCATGGAGATTGGAATTCACTGGATTATGATTACAGTCATCACTATTGCGTTATGAGGGAGAGAGTATAATAACAGTGGCATAATCTTTATGTAAAAATCTTGTAATAAACTTGTTTAGAAATATCTTTTCTCTAAAATGAGTTGCTGGTAATTTGAAGAAATGAGATTTGCCTTCAGTTGTTTTTGGTTTCTTACAGAACTGAATAGCATGGGTTATTGTCCTGCCTTATACAGACACTGTGAGACAATTAAATATGTGATCAAATAATCAAACAAAGCAGAGTCCAGTCCAGGATATTGTGCAGGTTCATTTCATTTTCCTGTAGCTTCCTGTGCTAGACAGAAGCACAACAGAAACCAGACAGAACTGTTTATCAAACAGTTAGGATGGAAAATACTACACTGAGTAATTCCAACACAGTCTACTATACTGAACAGAGAAAGAATTTCAACAACAAACCTTATATGAGCTAATACTTGAAAAATCAGTGTTGGTTGAAAATCCCAATTTTTCCTGAGTTGTGTAATATAACACGAGGTATCTGCATTCAGTTATGGGCTTCTTAGGAATCCAGGTGCCTGGTTATGTTTGCCTAGAAGAAAGGTGGTTGTGTTTATCGTGGGAGGACTTCACAGGATCTGAAGGTGAAGCAGAAAGTCTGTAGCTGCATAATGATAGACTACCCTGAATATGTGAGGCAGGAGCACTGCCACACATTCAGGTTTGGTAAGTATGAGAAAATATGTGTTTCCTCATGATGTATCACAGTGTTACAGCCTTACCAGTGCTTATCCATTGAAGCTGCTGCAGCACAGCTGTCGAGCCTACTGCCAGTGGACAAGGCGGTGCTGGTTACACAGGAGTGCCGCATTGGTCACATCTGGGTCCCACATATTGCCCACTCCTACATGGAAAGCAGGGCATAGAGAGGAGAATACTGGGTGCTCAATGCTTGTTCCATCATGGAGTAGGCAACTTGGAGGATTATGCTTGTGAGAAGTGACTCTGGGTGTTATATGTCAATGTAGTTGACACATCTGTTCAGATGACAGACTCCACATCTCTTCATGCAGAGCAGCAAAAAGAAGTTCTGAGGGGGCTGCTTGAAAAATTAATGTAATAAGGGAGCTATCTATGTCAATAAGTATTGGCTCAGCTAATACATTTTGTGCTTCTGTTAATAATAATTTTTCTCTCATTTTAATCACTTATTACATTGTAAGAAAAAATTAATTATTGCTTGGAAATAGGGAAAATTGTGCAGAGGTGCTAACATTTTTTAAACTACTGCTCTCAGCTGGAAATGATGGAAAGAGCAAATAATCAACAAACACAGTATTTCTGCTGTCTAAAACCAAGTTGGTCTCCTATAATGTCATTTAATAAAAACATGAGGCTGTTTGGCTGCATGATACAAGAAGTTATAGACTGCTGGGAGAGATCTTTCCTGGTGAGCTCTCCAGATTGTATTTCTATCCAGGATAGATTCAGAAGATGCAGCTGAACTACTGCAACCTGAGAACAAAAGAGTATCAGAGCAGAGAGAGAAATGGGACAAGTAAAACACAAACACTGAGACATGACATTTAGTAAAACAAGCACCAGGATCTAAATCTAATATTCTCCTGCTGCAGGAAACAGAACAACACTAAAACAGATCAGAGCTCACGTCTGATCACACAGAGATCTTGTCTCTGTTTGACACGGCCATTTATCAGTAAGCTGTGTTACAAAGCTGCTGCTGATCAGCATGAAACAGTGAAACTGGTAATGTTAGTATCGTTATAAGGAGGATAATATAAGACAGGGAAAGCAGGTTTATTTGGGATATCCAGCTGAAGTTACCCACCTGGCAGAAAAGAGGAGAGCTTCAGATAACGGAACCATGTGCTTTTCTCCCAAACACTGGAGATTACTGGTTCTGTGTCTGGAATAACAGAGGGAAATGAGGGGCAAAAGGTGGGGCAGGACTGATCTTTTGGCCTTCAGAAGATCTACCTGGAAAAGATCAAAGGACCTTGTAAAAAAATAATTAGAAATTCGTCCCCATTCGAAGAACCGACAGCAGGTGGCACTACAGAAGGCAAAGAAAATTTCTGAAGTTGTGAGGAAGCAACTCGTGCTCACTCAGGCAACCTGCCTTGCAGGACCGGGGACACCGTCTTAGCGGTGCTGCCCTGCCGGTGGCCATCATCAGCTACAGCATCATTTAGCTGGAGTAACTGTTGCAGATCAGCAGAGATGAGAGGAAGGGCACATACCGTCTAGTTAATAGCGGAAGTGTGTGATTTTAAATTTATGGTTTTTTGAACACAGACTGCATCTCTCACTTGGTAGAAGAGGGCTGCTCAGTTTTGCTTGGCTGTTACTAGATGCATGAACTGTTCACTGCATATTCCAGGTTTCTGCCCACTGTCTGAGACTGCTGCTGTTAGTGCATACCCTAGAAACAGTTCGAACTTGTCCAGACACTAAACTAACCTCTGTATGCACGCCCAAAGGTATGGGCTTTTCCCAAAGATTTTCTGGTTCTGCTCAGGCAAACAATCCAGCAGCATCTTAGTGCAGCAGGTTCACACTTAATTGTCTCAGCTGTTACAAAAAAAATAATAAATGTATGGTGCAGCAGATGCCTTTCTTTCCTTTCTACTGTTGCTCGTCTAAGGGAGGGATACGTGTCATCCTCTAATGACTGGCTCAGAAGAGAAGTCTCTTTCTGTTCTCCCAGCAAGTGAAGCTGGCCAGACAGAGCAGACTGAAGACCAGGAAGTGTTTTGCTTACAGTGAGACTGCCTCGAAAACTGCAAAGAGTATATTGGAAAGGAAAAGGTCTTCCATTGGCACAGCTGGCTCAGGGCTCTGAGTTACTCTGTCTCACCAACTAAATCACTGCTTTTAAGGCAAAAGACAGATTTTCATGCTGATAACTAAACAATGCCACAACAACCGGGGACAAAGGATATATGAACATAGCAAAGCAGGTAATTATACAAAGTATGTTACTCTCAGTGTCTTTGTAAATGAGTACCTAGATCACACTGAAATACATCCTCAAAGAATCAACATAGCTATTGATAGTACCATCCATTGCATCATCCACCAACATGGGAGAAACTCTGAGATGATGGTGTCCCTCTTCATGTCCTTCTCTTTCAAACCTTCCCCAGGCTTCTGAGTAAAAGCTCTGACTTATAATATGTCAGATTGAATGTTTTGTAAATTCCTAAGAGAGCAATGAGTTTTCTTTCACCAAAGGTGTGGCTCTTTGAGCTGTTCTGTGTGACTCTTTTAGGGGGCACTAACCTTCCACATTGCTGCAGGTTTGACTTGACAGACTGTTACTGGACCACACATGTTCTCTGCATGCCCTTGCATTCTTCTTCTCCCCTAAGGCATAAAATATGGAGCAGTCCCATCTGCCATTCCATTCTTTTGCCGCATCTAGTTCAAAATAACAGGACTCGGTAGCAGTGGGAGAAGAGAACAGGTTCTGAAAAGAGAACAAGCACAAAAATAAAATTTGAGGAAATCACTTTTGTCAGATTGTTAGCACTATTTCAGCAGGTATCAGAGATTTCAGCTTGTGACATCAGTGCTGGTCAGGAGAAAAAATGGTATTTAAATATAAAATTTAAATTTTTAATTTTAATATCAAAAGGATGTTCAGTTTCAAATGATAGTAAAGGTTTTGCAGAAGACAGATCTAACTATAGAAGATACAAAAATCTACACCTCCTACACTTGTTTCCTTAGATGCCTGATAAAATGGCATCTTAGGATCTTAGCCTGGGTTGAGCTCTTGAACCTATCAGCGCATGCATTGGGGATCTGCAGATCAATCTTTCTTTTTTTCCGCAAGTGCAGGAGAGGACATGACACTGTCAGGCATGCCAAAGAACTATGTCAAATCAAAAAGGCACAATGTCACATTAAGGTACACAAAGTACGCAGGATACCTGCTTTCACTGCTGTGCTGCACGAGAGCCTGAGGTTGAGATGATGACCTTCAGTTCAACTGCTTATCCAACTCTTTTCTGCAGGTGTGAGTAAGGGTCGTGTCATTTATTGCAACAAATTTGTTGAAGTTGATAAATTTGTCGGTATATGTAGCTCTTCCACAGGGTGAAATGAGTCTATGAAAAGTCAAAGTATTATCATTGCTTTCAGATGCTGAGTACCATCTTGTAATTTATAGCAATTTATTTTTTTCAGTAAAGGTAAAGTTATAATCCAGAAGTACATTTTATAACTTTTGGGTTATTATTTTAGAAAAATATTTTTGTCTTCTGTCTTTTTGTACATATTTCTTAGAAACATGAATGAAATTGTGGAAAAGTCTTGATAATATATTGGAATAGACTTTGAAGGATTAAATTAATATATTTATATTTTTACTAATAATAGAAGTGATTTTGAATAAAAGCATAGAATTCAGTTGGCTGCTATTACTTACAGTAATCTATAAGTATTCAAACGTGGTAATAAATCCCAGAAAAATCATAAAACTTAATAGAAATCAGGAAATTTATACAACAACCTAATGTGAAAAAGCATTCTTTATTATACACAATATTTTTCCTAGTTTGAAAGTGTATCATTCAGTCAAGAGGCAAAGTACGTAGCTTAGATGATTAATTACATATATCAAAGAACATCAAGATATAGAGCATAAAAATATCCATATAATGAAGACTGTTTGGTAGGGAAAACAGCAGAAATACTAAAGAAAGTCTTTGACTTTACAGCAAGGTGATCAGGAGCTTCCAGAGTTCACTGCAGGAAAGCACTGAGAAACATTTAGCTTCATTAACTCTGCATTATAGAAAACTAACATTAATGTTTGATAGGTATTTTTCACCATTATTCACTCAACCACAGAATTCATTTCTGAAGGCACAAGCATATTAAACAGGGACATTTCACATAAAATTAAATGCATGTGTCAGTTAAACAGTCCTTGAAACACCTTCCCTCAGTGTAACAGAAAATTTCAGGTACAGCTGTCAGCTACATAAAGGAATCAAAATTATTGACAAGGTTTATTTTGTAATTCATGCTTTTCCATTGACTGTGCTGTCACCTGTACATCATTGCTGCTTCACTTTTCTAGAAGAGGTCTGTTCTGTTCCTACATCATCTGTGCTGTAAGATGCCATCGTAAAGCCAGTCTTTCCAGTAAACAGATTCCTCCAGTTCAGTAATACTTTTCTCTTGGTTTGTTTGATAAGGTTGAGGTCAGAAAACAAACGGATTTTGTTCTCCCGATACTGGATATTGCCTTGCTAGGGTTGCTTTCAGCAGTCTATCCTGTTCTCCTATTTCAAACTTAGATGAAATAAAAACATTCCCACTGTTGTTGGCTGCCACATTCTCCACACCAGTATCCTACAGCACTTTTCCATGCAAAATATATTCTTACCTGATATCAATTTCCAGAAATTCAGCAGG